ATTAAAGAAGAAAAAAAAAAAATCGTGTATATATATATTTACATAAAATTATATGTATATATAATATATTAGACTTACGAAACGAAAGACGGATGTTGGCGCGATTCAAATTGCGTATATAGAATGTGTGACGAAAAGGAAAAAAAGGAAAAAGAAAAAGAAGGGGTTAGAATATACCCAACGCCTCCCTTATTCCACTTGCACCCCGCGACCTAATGCACATGATACACGCGCGCGTGCACATCCATTACACACATATATACATACCTACATAAAGAGCGTGCGCGCATTTCATACACCGTGTTATAATCTCAGACACACACACACACACGCACACACTCGTTCTCACATATTATATTTGTACAGGGCAAAAACACGTTATTATGTATGTATGTACGCAGGCAATGGTGTGCAGATCCTTTTTCTTTTTTCTTTCCGTTTTTGTTTTTTTTTTTTTTTTTTCTCTTCAAGACGAGAGAACTCATTGCCGACGCTTTATGTGTTCCCTTTTTCGACATTAGACAAAAAAAAAAAAGGTTTCTTTTCTTCACCGGGTGTTAGACGGTTTTTTGTAGATAATTTATCGTGTACCGATTTATAGTTTGTAATTATACATGTATATCTCGAGTGGTAGCGAGTCCTTGTAACTTAACCTGATTGCCTTTTCACGAATTACTACCACTTTTATTCTCGATATTATGTGCACTATTATTATTATAATTATTATTATCGTCATCATTATTATTATTATTACTATTATTGCTATTATCATTATTATTAGTTATGTTATGTATATTATTATGTGAAAACGTGACGATTTCGATCAAATCACGACTATTATGTCATTGATGTTCAGTGACGAACGTCGATAATCATTTTGGTTTGATCTGTTCCGAACCATTTAGTTCACCCCTGTTCAGCGTCTAAGGGACGCAGTTCTCCCCGTTCGTAAATTCCTGTCCCTCTTTTTTGCGTTCCTCACTATTGCCTTTTACATTAAGATGAAAAATCCCTTCGAACCACCTTACTACTCTACTTTGTCCCCTCCCTCACACACACTTTGTTCAATGAGACGTTGCCCGTCTACCGTTCTGACATTTTTCAGTTACTATTGTATTTAGTTATTGTATACACGACGATCATTATCCCCCTTATTATTATGATTATCATCAATTATTATGAATTATTATTACTATTATGATTATTATTACTACAATTAAGCATGATTTATGCAAGTGTACACGGCAAAAAAGGAGAGCAAGTAAAAGAACAAAAAACGAGAGAGAAATACACGTACGTACACGTATACATATATATACACATACACACACACACACACACACACACGTTTCTGTAAGCGGTGAGTCTTAACCTAGTCACGAGTCACTAATGTTTTAATTTTAACGATCGATTTATTGATTATTATTTTATTTATTATTTACGAAGAATAAAAATGACACATTGGACTCTGAGTTGTCTTATTTTATTTTGTTCCGTTAACCGCGGCCGTATTTAATACGTTTTCGTTTATTCATACCATCCAGATCACCACCATTCACCACCATCGACCACCGTCATAATTACTACTTAAAAACAATACGCGTTCATCTCCCCTGCCCCCCCCCCTCCTTTACAAATTCATCCTCGATGTCGTAAATTCGACACCCAGAGCGAATCGAATCTTCAACTCTAACGTTTCGAACATTCGACTGCCGCGACCCGGCCTACCTTCGATCCAATATAACCGAACGAGAGAGTGTGAGTCTTTCTCTGGGAAACGTGGTACGATGACGACGACGTTTAACGAAACTGGAAATCGGCGATCGGTCGAATCGAACTTTCGCGACGAAACGAGCAAGATTGTGGGGAAGGGAAGAAAAGAAAAAAAAGGAAGAGGCTTCGTTGAGAAGAGAGAGAGAGAGTTCCAAACGATGAATGAGAAAAGACAAAAAGAAAAGAAAACGAAAAAAAAAAAGAAGAAGAAGAAAAACCAACGGGAAAAACGTTCAAGGTTGGAAATATCAAATTCGTGGAAAATTTCGACTCTTAAGGATGCGACTAGACAGTGGCCTAAAATTAACGTAGCATCTCCTTCGGCGCTGGCCTAAGATTTTGGTCTAAAAAACGTTTACGTTCGGGGACGACGAGGAAGGGGAGGGTGGGAAGGAAACGCGTGCGGCAAGGGTGAAATATTTATCGGACTATATTTCTTTTTAGGGAATTTTGAAAAACGACGATTTACGTGTACCTGCGGTCGCGTCGAGCCTCGACTCGATTCGAGATCGCGATTTCCAGTCGCGTCGTCGCGCGCCAATTTCCCCATCCTCGTTCCGTCTCAGTTCCTACGTTACTCGCACCTATGATCAGCGACAACATTTCATCATTTTGCCAAGGGGAAATTTACTAGTGAATCTCGAGGGAGATTTAATCTACCAATGCGCCAAGCGATTAAGCGCGGGGATAAGCGCGATCCCGCGCGCGCGTTTCCGTTCGCGTAACATTTGCCGAATACGTTGAGAAATTCGCCTCCCAAAGGATAAATGAATAGAAAATTTCGGCCACACACCTATTGTTCAACAGTGTGTACTAAGGTCACTGCGTAAATATTGCCACGCGTTAAACTTGGTGTTATTTAAACTGGGACATCGTGTAAGAAAATGTTTATTATACGCGAGAAAAAAAAAAAGGAAAACCTGCTAGATTTGCTATAATGTTTATGTGAGATAGGAATCGTTGCGTAATGAACTCTACGAGTACTCGAGAAATTTATCGACATTTAAATTCTAAAGGATCATCCAGGAGATCGATTATTTTTTTATCAAGTTTATTTGAAAATTCTCTTTCTGGACTGTGCGCGTGTCCGAATCAACGATTATCCGATTAACCATATGTAGGTGACATTCTAAGGATCGAAATTCTACTCGCAAACACGCA